TTTTTTCTCTAGGTCATTTTTCCAACACCTGGGAAACTTTAAGAGGGGTGGACTTCACCTCCCAGAATCCCCCAGCAAGCATGGCTGGCTGGGGAATTCTGGGAGTTGAAGTCCACGCATCTTAAAGTTGCCAAGGTTGAGAAACACTGCTCTAGGTCATTTAGAATACATTCAGTTTCAAAGCACTTTCCTCTCTGCAATCCAGAAAGAACTGCATTGTAGGGACTTGTGGCCAGCTGCACAGATAATCTCTTCCCTGGCAATCAGGAATATTATCTAATCTGATTTTTGTCCTGACGAAAGATGCCTGTTTTGCATTTAAGCGAGAGGTTGTAACTCACTGTGGGAGTGCCTATTTGGAAGGACCAAAATTCCATTTGTGCATCCTCGGTACAAAAGTATTTTAGGTCTTAGATTGGAATGACACAAGTTACTCTAGCTCAAGTGTCACAGCAGACTGTGTGTGTTACGATGAGGGCTGCACTCATTTTGGATTTTTTTTTTTTAGCAGAGAAATAGATGCCTTCAGCTTTTGCAAGACATAAGATGCCCATTTTGCTTCTGAAAATCTCCCAAACCTTAAATCATCCCAAATAAGTTCTTTTTAATTAGAAAGGCTAACTAAAGTCAGGCAACTTTCTGGCTGAAATCTTGTGAGACCCTGCATAAAACTGTTGAAATCCCATGATATTGGTAATCTGTGATTTCAGCCATTTAGTTTTGTTTAGATATTTTAATTTGGGTTGTCTGTAAATTTCAACAAGAGTTTTGTTGGGTGGGGCTTGGTGCTGTTGGCCATCCTTGCTCTATGGGGATGTTGTTTAAGATTTAAGCTGCTGATCTACCAGTGAGTAAAGCATGCAGAACTCTCCAGCTCCTTTTTCCAGGGTAATGGTGCAGGGCAGACCCCCTTCCTCCTGGACAAGAGGGGGTCTACTTGATTTTAACCTAGTGTTTCTCAACCTCAGCAACTTTGAGATGTGTGGACTTCAACACCCACACATGCATGAGCTGGGGAATTCTGGAAGTTGAAGTCCACATATCTTAAAGTTGCTGAGGTTGAGAAACACTGCTTTAATCTACCATCACTTTCCGTATTCCTTTCTCTTCCACAGTATAGACAAGGTGTCCCGCATCACTTCCCCTGTTCTGTTCATTCATGGCACCGAAGACGAGGTGATCGACTTCTCCCACGGCTTGGCCCTTTACGAGCGCTGCCCAAAGGCAGTGGAACCCCTCTGGGTAGAGGGAGCTGGTCACAACGATATTGAACTCTACAGCCAGTACCTGGAGCGCTTACGCAAGTTCATCTTACAAGATTTGTCTGGTTAATGCAGCTCAACCTGTCTTATCCACCCTTCTGGCAAGGACCGGCCACCTCAACTGGGCAAGGGGAAGAGGAGGAAGCATTTGTGGCTTTCAAAGGAGAAGGCCACTGATGCTGCAAGTTCCATGTTCCCATCTGCAAAATGGGAGTAGCTCAGTCCACCCTTCCTCCATTGCAGGCTTAGTTTGTACAGGGCTCTTGAGTCTCTCCTGATGGTTTTTCCCCATCGCAGAGGGCCCTTTCCAGCTGTTTCTCATTTCCAGCTGCTGTCATGGCTGAGGATGGGTCTGTCCATAATAACAAGATGCCTGAGACAGTCTCTAATTGCACCTCATCGCAGGACTCCAAAGGACTTGAGTACTGCAGACTGTTCTAGAACATCAACATCTCCATCAGGGCTACCCTCTTGTTGCCTCCATCCACCTTCACCTCCTGTTTCGGATCCAGTTTTCTGAACACTCTGCGCGTGACCCAGTGATAGCAATAAGCCATAGGCAGGGTGGGGCAGGGAGACAAGGCACCTTGCATGCTGGCCAAAATGGCTTGCTCCAATTTTGCTGCCTAGCCCACTGCAGCACCTGAAGACAACAGAATTTCATTCAGATTTCCTCTGGGGAGGGGATGGGAAACAACCTTGAGTTTTCACCGGAAGTCTGTGAAAGGACTATTTGTGGAATGCAGTAAGGCTGTTCTACATGTCTCAGCATTTACGGGGGG